ATAATAATAATAATAAATTTTTTTAACTTCCCCATGCTTCACTGCTTGCCTGCTTCGCTCCCGTCACACTGTCCTGCCTCGAGTGAGTCTGACTTATTTCTAGGTTTCTCTTCCTCTAACCAAGCCATGTGTGGATTCAGGATTTATGGCCCAACTTGTTCTGCACGTTGCCACGTTACTTATTTCTCAGGTGATAATTCATAGTACATTCATAAGTCCATTTAGAAATTTATTTATATAATTTGTACTTCTTAGTTCAAGTTTGTGCCTTTGCTTTTGGTATAATTTCAACATTTCTTGCACAAGAAAAAAAAAGTTTAAAATAAATAAGCTTTATAATCTTAGTTTATAGATCTGAAAATCGGAAAAATTCAAAATATGAAGTTTGTTTCCTGGTAGGGTCTGTTAAAATTGGGCTATATCTTATTTTGCCCTTTCGGACTTTCTTACCAATCAAGTATTGGGCCTCAAAATCATTTTATTTGATTTACCTAATCTAGGCCCTAATTTAACATTAGGGTCGTGATTGAAAAAAATTTGGATGGAGAAAAATGCTGTAGAGAATATTTGAATATTTGACATTATTATAATAAAATGCTGTAGAGAATTAAACTGTTTGAAAAAAAATAAAACGTAGATGAGTAGTGGACAATTTTTTTTTCAAATTTTTTCTAAATGATTAAAATTGCTTTAAATGAACTATATTCTCACTATACTTTTATTTATTTTAAATGCATTAATTTTTTATTTTAAATTCAAAATATTTGAATAATTAAAAGATATCACCTTGAAATTCATAAAAAGTAAAAGGTGTATTTTGATGATTTGGTACTTAAAAAAGTATTTAATAATCATAAAAATACGAAAGCACACGTCTGTCACAATTACTCAAAAAAAAATTGATAACAAACATTTTTTAAACCAAACCTATGTACTTTTAATATTATTTTGGAGCCAAAATCACTTATTGGTACCTAAATGCTATTGGAAGAAAAAAAATATTGTATGTATTTATTACAAAAGAATTTAAATTATACATTTTATAAAGGTAAATGATATATATGTCAAGTTCTATTGGTAATTTAATTTTGACTAATTAATAGTATTTTAATTAAATATTATAATCTCAGTATTATATTACAATTTCAATTAAATAATTTGTATAATTATTTTAATAAATACGGTGCCAAATGCGCTTTATACATAAAAAAGGGTGTAGCTCGGC